TATCACAGAAAAGAAAGAAGATTTGGACTTTTAAGGTACTCCAAGGATCACACAAGTGTACTTTTTTTTATATATATAAAATGTAACAAATTTAATCTCAGATGGTTGTAATTTAGGAGTGAGAAAAAGAACCGGATATATCTTTGAGGCAGTGTTGAAAGCCCAAGTGATCGGGCATAGAACATACACTGATGATTGAAATGGATAACATCAGGTGTGGCCCATTGACTACTAAGGAGAATGTTTGAGATGCTATTATTCAATAGAATACCTGTTTTTTTTCTGAGCGTTTTTTGCTCTCCTGATTCTTGTTTGATTTGGGGGTTGCTCTACTCTTTGCTTCATTTGTTTGGGTCCCTCCCCATCCGTGCCCATGGCTGGATGATGGATAGTGGTGGATATCACCATCTTAGAGATTATTAAAGACAGTAGCCTATTCCTGAAGAAGCGGATCTATGTGAAACGCGTAGAAATTTGTTTTCCTCCCACTGGACTACAATAAAATAAGGAAGCTGATATCCAGCAAACTGTGAAAAGTACTGTAATGGTAAAATTGTTGGAGGATACCTCTACTCCTCTGCTATACTCTATCCCCCTCTCTATCCTGCTTTTATCCCCTCCTTGACCCTCTTCCCCCTGGCGGAAGGCTGGGGTGGCAGAGGGAAAATGTTTGTCTCTTTGCGCTCATTTATTTTTACTTTTGTTAGATCCAGATTACAAGCTGTTACTTAGTCTGGATCTTTGGTTTGAAAAACAGACTACCGGCGGCGTCTACTGCTAAGCATTGGTAACGTCAGCAGTGCCCCTTTTGGCAGCTGTGACCACATGGTAGAAGGTTAAGAAATATCATAGTCCATACTATGTCAAAACCTACGAATGTATACCTCGGTTGTACTTGAATGTTCCAATGTAATGTAAAACAAAAATGAAAAAATGTATTGAATGAAAAAATAAAATTGTGGGAGGATGCGGGTACATCATTTGGTCTTTTTTAGACAATCTTTTCTGTTCTTTAAAACCATGCATTTTTTAGATACGTATATAAATAAAAATGAGTTACATTTTATATTAAAAAAGTACACTTGTGTGATCCTTAAAAGTCCAAATCTTCTTTCTTTTCTGTGATATAATTTATTAGGATGTGGTACTCCCCCTCTATGCATTGTATGAAAATAACCAATCATGGTTTTCGATGATGCGATCACTATGTTAGCTCTTCACAGTAACATCCAGGCTCCTTCAACAAATTAAAGTGTTCTGTCTGCAGATAAACACTGCCACCTTCAGGCTGCAGTGTTCTGGAGTGCCATTTATTTAATAGTGTAGCTGTCAAATACAGTTGCAGTATTAAAAATAACAATAATGAAATATAACTGCGTAAATGTAAAAACAGATTTTATGCTCTTTTGTTAGCCTCTAATAAAAACAGAACGTGTTTTTTTAAATTAAACAATTGTACCAAACACAAACCGTTAAACAGATACAGTATGTATGTGTGTTTTTAGTAATTGTTAAGTAGAATGAGACATGCTGACATGGTCTGGGTATCTAATCATCAATATTCTCTGCTCAAGGTAATGTTGTATTAATGAATACAGAGCTGTGTTAATTTGTGTTCGGACGAAATTTCGTAGATTCGGAGCATCCGAATTTCTGAAATATAACATATCCGAAATCATCCAAAAGCATCCGGATCTGAAATTTCGGATTTGGAGCGCATTTTGTCCAAATCCTGTGCGTGCGCTGTTAACATTTAAACGGATATAAAAACACATTAAGAAAATGATTTTAATGTCCCTTTTAATAGTAAAGACTAGAGCACAGCAACCAGAAATGACAAATGTGCCAATTCTGCTGCCCCACCTCAAGTTGAATTTTCGGGAATTCGTCCGAATTCCGAATCCGAATCCCGAATCAGAACCGAATCCCGAAACGAAACACATATAGGATCCGAATTCCAAAAATGAAATAAACGAAATCAGAAACTAAACACATTTTTAGCCGCTGCACATGTCTAGAAACCCCTAACAATGGACTTCTCTTATTTGCTCGCTCTTGGTTTATGGTTTTGGTCTTTTGGTAAATATCATTGAAAGCATTTTATGATAAGCTTTAAAGTGATATTAAAGGCAAAAGGATTTTAAGCTATTTCAAATGCTGATGAGATCACTTACAAAGGATGCTGCTTCTTGATGTTTCAAAGTTTGAGTTTCCTGCAGAATCAGCTGGTCCCTTAAGCACTGGTCCTGACTTCCTGTTTAGGGTGACTCCTTTCTCAAGCAGAGTGCTATGGAGCCACCCTTGTGTGTGCTAGTACGCTGTGTGCGTCTCCACAAAAACACAGACACAGCAAATCAAGCTACTTCCCTCCCCCCGCCCCCTCTCCTCCCTTCTCCAAGCTAATAGCTAAACAGTTGCTTCAGTCTGCACTATCCTTTGTGCTCTTGTACCGGACACGAAGCTCAGCTGTTCAGAAACATGATGATTGTGAGTGTTTGGGTAAAAATGTAAAACAATGTTTTTCTGGCCAATGTATATTTGTTTGATCTGGATTTATTATTGAAAAAAAAAAAGTTTGAGTTTAAAATATTACTTTAATTGCAAAAAAAGTCTTGTTGAACTTGCCAGAAATCTTGCAAACTTGTAACTTCTTGTGCTCTCTGAATCTGCTGACTGTAATCAGTGACACTGTTCTCAGCTATCTCTGTGGACTACAGAACCCTTCCCACTTATGTTATAGCAAAGAGCAGAGGGGTGACAGCTTCTAGTCCGATCACATTTCTGTTGTTCTGATACAGTAGAAATAATGTACATTGTCACCTATGACTAAAAGTGTGTTTATTGGCAAGATCATAGGAAAAAGAAAACGAATCTAGCCACCACATCTTTTCGATTAAGATACGCTTTAAATAGGCTGTTATTATACAAATCGTTATTATAAAAGTGCTACTTTTCAGGCTCTTTGGTGCGTTCAGCTTGACCGCTAGAAAACTAGCATTGCCAGCAGGAAATTAGAAATCTCAGCCTTGGTTTTTCCTTTACCCACTTGCCTTAATTACTGCACCTAATTACAAAGGCCAGACGGCTCACCCTTGACGGCAGGTGCACATTTATAAACGTCCTTTGCCCCTCTTGAGTGGGAGTGGGAAAGTATACAGCTGGCATCAGCTGTTACAGGCTCTCTGTACCTCTAGGAGCTGATCTTAGCGACTGATGTGTATTACATCACTTCAAGGTTCAGTGTGTCATTTCTCCGGCTGTAGCCAGAGGAGAAGCTGATGAAACCGAACTTCATAAGCTTCTTTCGGGTTCCTACCGTGTTTCCCCGAAAATAAGACACTGTCTTATATTTTTCCCCCTAAAAAAAAAAACACACACGGTCTTATTTTCAGGGTATGTTTTTTTTTTTTTTTAATGTGCAACAAAATGGTCAGTATAGGTAATGCGGATCCCTTTCTTTCACTTTCACAGGCGGAGTGCATCTGGTATCACTCCGCCTGTCACAGTGACCGGCGCTACTGGCCTGAGGGAGTCCCTTGTCATCCCCTTAATACAGTATGTCCCTGCGGGCTTATACCATCTCTCCTGCTCTTCAAGTTTCCCCTCGCATGCTACCACCAAACTAGGTCTTATTTTCGGGGTAGGTCTTATATTTCAGGAATCTTGAAAAATAGTGCTAGATCTTCCGGGGTAGATCTTATTTTCTCGGAAACATGGTAGGTGACAATAGGGGTCTAATAGACTGTCACGGTATCTGTGCTATCACATTGGGGGCCCCCTATGTGATAGCAATACAGTTAAGTGTAGAAAGGAAAAAAATATGAGTTGCATATAAAAGAAAATGTAAGCACAAAAACATTTTTTGATGTCCCCCGCCCCCTTGTACACGCAGATACAAACGCAAACAAGCGTTGGGCGCGCCTATGTGCAAAAACTACCATTGTGCCACACATGTTGCATGTCACCGCAAACATTAGAGTGCAAGCAATAATTTTAGGGCCATTAATCACTGTCAACACCAAACTGATGAACGGTAAAAGCTTGGTCGGTGTTGTCTATGGTCAATTTTGGATATGGCAGTCTTTTGCGATTTCATGGGCAAACGCAATTTTAACACTTGACATGTTACGTGACCAAATAAATGTAGCAGAATACATTCTGGCTTAAATGTATGAAGAAAAATGATTTATTTGCAATGTTTCATAACATAACGTAGGGGAAACATTTTTTATTTTTTTACATTTTCAGTACTTCTTTCTTTATGTGGTAACGAAATAAAAAAAAAAAAACCCAGTGGTGAATAAATACCAAAAGAAAGTTCTATTTGTCTAAAAAAAAATGATATACAATTCATTTTGGCAGAGCATAGCATGACTGAATAAATGTTAGTACCTCAACGCTGAATACTGCGAAATGGCCTGGACAGGAAGAGGGACACCCTGGGCTTCAAGTGGTTAAGAAAGCGACTGCTGTTGGTTTTAAGTTTAGATTTGGGGCGTATTTTAGAGGCTGCTCACATTCTTTGTAACACATTTTCAAAACTTTGTCTCAATATGTGAGAAAATGTCATTGCATTTTTTTTAGATCAGTCAGAAAAGTCACTCGTATTAATATTTAGTTGTACTTATTTTTTATATTTGGCATTTTCTTTTAAATGTATGAGCTCCACAATACCTTGCCAATAAAACCGTTCGCACATATCAAACATACTACAGGCCCATAAACATTTCTGAAAACTGATTCCAACCTGCCGATGGCTTCCTTTTTTAATTGAAGTTTAAAATAAATATTGAATACCCATTCTCATCCAGTTGAATAGAGATCAAACAATCAGATTGAAACATGTGAGAGACTTCAGAGCACTCGTCCATATCAGCCGTATTTCATGCTAATTTAAAAATTGACTTCAGTTTTTCTAAATCGGTCTCATATTTGAGATTTCCTATTCTCTGAAATATTCTATCACTAGAGGAGTGACAAGCCCCAGACACAGAACTTACCTTGTACAGATTGATCCACAGAGGTCAGGTTAACAAACTGGAGCCCCCTTGAATCCGTACCGATCTGCTGGTGGGCCAAGTGAGGGATTCTGCTCCCCACGTTCTACCTTTTAAACAAGGACCCTGATTAACAGAGACGTCACTCAGTGTAGACTTAATGGGAGGAATTAGAGGGACACATTCCACAGGCTAGGATCCCATTGCTGGTACAGTTGCCTACGGCACACGCTGATGGAACAGTCACTGATTGGTCAGCTCTTAATCTGCACAATGTACTTGAATGGATTGAAAATGACTTGTGTGGATAATAGGCCCGATTTATTAGCTCTGTCAACATTGCATACAGGTGACATTAGTGTGCTTGTGGAATTATGTCTTAAATGTACGCTTCCCATGTAGTTTTAAAGCTACACTCCAGTCATTAACTGAACAAGCCCCGACCTGAGAACACAACCTACCTGCTCAGGGTCTTGGCTGTTCCTCCAGGCAGAAGAGCACCTGTTCACTCCACTGACTGTTGTTGCTAAACTATTAATCTGGGAACGCTTTCAGTTTACCAGTTTGTATTGGAGGAGAGGAATTCTCAAACACACCCACTACAGCCTCTGTGCTGTTTCTACAATTCTGATGTATAGAAGTGGTAACAGTGGAAGAAGTAGGTCAGAGTCATCCATTTGATTTAAAGCCCAGCTCCAGGGAAATGAAAAGTTTTCCATTGTAGTGGGGCTGTACCTGCACTGCAAAAGTTAACTGCTCGCTTATGCCTATGGGAGAGGAAAAATATTTTTTACTTACCCGATCTCCGCTCCCCGGGTATTCAAAGCTCTCCTTTTCTCCCCTCAGCTCCCACTGTGGACTGTCCCTTGGTGTCCTTGCATACAATACAGGGCTCTGGAGCCTGTATTGTACTTAAAGGAGAACTATTTTCACGCAACCTCATAGTTCGAGCCAACGTGTGACAATGGAACTGTAGCACTTCGGCTCAATAGATCGGGAAGTTAGCGAACACATACTGTCGTTCGCTCACATCTCGATCATCTCCCTGCAGAGAGCAGTGACTGCCAGTCACGGCTCCTTGCAGGGATTCCCCCCCTCCCTGCTCCAATCCTCCAGTGCCTCTAGATAGGCAGAGCCAGCTGTCATTCCTGCAGGTGGGTGGATCTTGACAGCATTGTTGGGATCCGTCCGGGCTGCGGCGGTCTCAGTATACGGTGAGCTATAGCTCGCTATATACTGAGCTTTGGGTCACAGGAGGACACTAGTATATGTCCTCCCGTGACCCTTAAGAGAACAATGGGAAAAACCACTTACTCCATGGCTCTCTTTTAATGACGTTAGTCATCCTTAGGAGAGAAGAGGCTGCAGAGGATGCTGGGACAAGGTAAGTAAAACAGCTTTTTCCTGCCCCCTAGGCATAAATGAGCAGTTAAGCCTTGCAGTGGGTGGGTAGCTCCACTGCAAGGGAAAGGTTTTAACTTCACTGGAGTTGGCCTTCAAAGTTAAAATTGGACTGGTAGGTGTCATGGGAAAGAAAGTTTCACAATAGATATCGGTGAACAGACCCCTGTACCCTACACAAGAGGAGCTCTCTGGAATCTGGTTGCAGGTTACTATATAGAATTCAGAATTGGGTTCATTCAGTGGACTTTCTTGCAGTATTTCCTGTACAGAATCAACTGATTACTGGTTGATTTTACCTGTAGCTGTACTGAAGGTCGAAAGTTTGTCTCCTGTAGCTGAAAGCAAAGGCTCTAATGAGCATATTAATCTCAGATGGAAATGTTTTCCCGAGACACAGTAGCAGGAAATTTTGAAAAGCGTCATGCTTTTCCTTCAACTTTTTGAAAGGATTTCATTTTCCAAACAATGCATCAAAATCACAAAACCAAACTTACTACTTCCACTGTAAATCGATTTTTGCATTCATGGTTATTACTGAATTTATGTGTTTTATCTGGAGTTAAGTAATCTGCTGTGTAAAGTGACTCTTTCTGAGTCTGAATGTTAGCAACCCCATTTCCATGTATTACGTACCTGAGATCTATTGAGCTGTAATTTACCTGCAATCTAGTAAATGTTTCTAATAATGTCATGCCTTCATGTGCATTTTATATTGAATTGATTGCAATGTATCAACCCTATTTTCTGTAAAGGTCCCACTTTTCCCAGTCCACTCTCGCCTCCTTTATTTCCTTATGAGTCTGATAGGCTTCCAATCACATTAAAGGACCAATGGGCCAGGAGGGGGTGGAACCAAATTTGAGGAAAAGTATCTTCAGCTACCTTTATTTCTGGATCTACTTTGACATGTGTTTTTTGCTGTGGACATCTTTCATTTTTTCATAGTATGTTGAGCCTGAATTGCTCAGATCCGACCCTTCCTCCCAACCTGATTGGAAAATACTATAATATACTTTACCTTTTGAGCCATACAAAATCTTTTTCAGCTCAACGTTCCATCTTTCCATTAACATTGTATGTGCTGAGCCGAAGGTGGGCCATGGAGAATTATAGCCATTCTTTACCTCGCAAAAGACACCAGTAATTTTTGTGTCTGGGTAACAAAAATGAGGAAAGCGTCTCTTTGTCATAAACCGATCTGACAGGATCCAATTTTTATTTATATATGGTTTTCAGTGATCTGTTTGGCTGTCATGATGGTATAACCAGGAGTTAAGCTTGTCGCCTTTGTCCATTGTGAAAGACGGCAGCTGCCTAGTGACACCTTGCTTAGAAGAGAAGACACAGGTGCATGTTTTTCTTCATATCGGCAAGGCCATCATGTCTTCTGGAGCTTTTGACTACCTTGAAAAATAACTCATCAGATTCTCCACTTCATGAGGTAAAAGGTCTTGGTTGAATAGAACATTTGACCTTTTTCCTGCATTAGTAAAGAAACATTGAGGGCATTTCAAAGCTGAATTGAACCCTGCTAAGTGTATTAACCTTTGAACGCTTTGTATGTAGCTGGGAGTTGGTTTTGAACTCCCTTGCGACTAGGCTTCTCAGATGTGAATTGATTATGATGACTGAACATCGTAGGCGCAGTGAACCCACTTAACCTTGAGGCTCAGTAGTTTCACAGCAGACATGGGATTAATGGAGGAATGCAGAGAACCTTCCTCTGAGGTTCCTCAAGAGGAAACATTTTTTGGGCTTCCAGATTGTACAGTAGACTGGGAGCTCGCGATATCCGGGATCTAATGCACTTGCTCTAGGATTTGATACTGAAGACCTCTTCTGCAGCTTGCTGTTCCTCAGGGAAGAACAAGCATTATTTGGTCAATGTATTCTAATCCTCAGTATGTTCTCTGGATTCTGTCTCACCTTAACCACTGTATGAGCATGACTACATGGCAATTGATTTTCATTCCTGGTTTAGACTTGCTTAAAGTGTATGTAAACCCACATTTTGTTTATTTGTTTTGGATAGAGTAGGACTTCAACCTCTGTTCAGTTTTTATTGCCATCTGTATCTCTTCTCAAGGGGTTCACACTCTTTGTCCTGCAGTGGCGTAACAACCGGGGGGCAGGGGGGGCACTTGCCCCGGGCGCAGGACTGAGGGGGGGCGCCGTCACGACCCCTGCTAAACGAAGCCCCTGGCTCCCTCTCTCTGCCACATTCACCCGGCTGTCACCGGGCGGCCGGCCGCTCGCTCCTCCGAGGCCACTGCGAGCGGCCCTCTACAGTGCCTGATTGGAACTTGTGTTTGTTTTGTGTTGGGAAAACCAACATTTTGAGTTGTCACCAGAATACAGGGAAAATCTTCCACAAGAGATACATGTTCCATTGACAAGTAAGAGGGTACTTCATGTAGAGTGATCCGCACTCACTTCCAGTTGTGTCCACAGGTTAGAAAGTAAGTTAAGAAGGCCAAAAAACCTGACAGGATTTTAACTCTTCACTACTTTATCCAAAACTAAAAAATATGTTTTGGCTTTACATACAAATTAACCTTTATTGAAGAGGAAGTGAAGAGGCTATGAAGCGATCACCTCTAAAGGGAGCTGCTGGAATGAATAAGTTGTTTTTTTAAAATTATTATTATTTGTATTTTTGAAAAATGTTATTGAGTCATTGTCATCATCGTGGACAACGCTGGATGTCGTGATGGACCCTGGATTATGTCGGGGGATCCATTTTTTTTTATAAAATAAGAGACTTGTCAAAAACATGTCTTTTGGTTTTTTGTTTTTTTTCAATTAATGGATTTTTTCAAAAGTCTGGTGTTTTTATTTACAATTTATTTTAACCCTTGAATGTACAAGTACCCCTTACTCATTCACAAGGGGGGGGCCCGCATTGGTGTTAATTGATGTGAATAAGCCCCTCTGCCCAAACCCCCACAACCAACGCCCCGGGGCTTGTGGGGAAGAGGCCCTTGTCCCCATTGGCACGGGGACAGGGTGCTTTTCCAGGGGCGACCCTGCAAAAGCACCCTCCCAGTGCCGATCACTTTTTTTAAATTGTAACTTGGGTCCCTCCTAAAATTCCTACCAGACCTTAAGGGTCTGGTACGACTTTTGGGGGGAACCCCACACTTTAAAAAAAAAAATGGGGTCCCTCTAAACCAGCGGTTCTCAACCTGTGGGTCGCAGCATCCACTTCTGCTGCGCAAGGTGAGAGGCAGTTCAGAGGGGACTCTGCTGGGCACTCCTGGATCCAGGGTGGGGGTGGGGGTGGGGATTCTGCTGGGCACTGTTGGATGTAAGGGGGGGGCTCTGCTGGTCACTCCTGTATGTAAGAGGGGGACTATGACATAACATAGAATGCATACAATGCATGGTTTCAATTTACTCTCGATCTGGTTGCTATTATAAGTAGAAATGTCAAGAATTCACAAGAAAGTCTAACATATCGATCAAAAAATTATAATTTGATATTCACATGCATGATGTGATTCTGACAGCAGCAGGCAGTTAAGTTTTCCACCATGCCAGATTAGAGTAATTTTGACTGGATCAAACGATGATGCTTGAAATTGATCAAGCACAAACAAAAATGTCCTTGGATTTATTATAATTATCAAATCAGTAGTTAATTGTTCAATGTTTTTGTGTATGGCCTTT